GAGCCCCAACCACCCGCGGCACCCCTCCCCGCCCACAAGCTCCCACTGAGGAGACCCCCCTACCCCGGCACGGACACTCCTCCCTGCCCACATCCCTGAGGGGAAACATGGTGCTGTCTTTAGTGTCATTTTTTTGTCTCAAACATTGTGAACTCAGGGTCCGCCTGGTCTGCTGTGGGGAGGACTGAGCGGACACTCAGCACACGACGGAGCAGCCCACCCGTCCACGGAGTCCACCCCCCGCCCCGACATCCACCACCACCGTCCCCCCAAACCTGCCATCCCCCTAAACCCACATATCCCCGTGACCCCCACTCCCCAGACAGATGCCCTGCTCTGGAGCTAAACGGCCCCCCTCACGGACACCCTCCCCCTCACGGACACGCCCCCTCACGGACACCCTCCCCCTCACGGACACCCTCCCCTCACGGACACCCTCCCCCTCACGGACACCCTCCCCCTCAGGGACACCCTCCCCCTCACGGACACCCTCCCCCTCACGGACACGCCCCCTCACAGACACCCTCCCCCTCACGGACACCCTCCCCCTCACGGACACGCTCCCCCTCACGGACACCCTCCCCCTCACGGACACGCTCCCCCTCACGGACACGCCCCCTCACGGACACGCTCCCCCTCACGGACACCCTCCCCCTCACGGACACCCTCCCCCTCACGGACACGCCCCCTCACGGACACGCTCCCTCACGGACACGCTCCCTCACGGACACCCGCTCCCTCACGGACACCCTCCCCCTCACGGACACGCCCCCCTCACGGATAGGCTCCCCCTCACGGACACCCTCCCCCTCACGGACACGCCCCCTCACGGATAGGCTCCCCCTCACGGACACGCTCCCCCTCACGGACACGCCCCCTCACGGACACCCTCCCCCTCATGGACTCCAACCCTCACTGACACCCTCCCCTTCACTGACACGCCCCCCTCACGGACACCCTCCCCCTCACGGACACCCTCCCCCTCACGGACACCCTCCCCCTCACGGACACGCCCCCTCACGGACACGCTCCCCCTCACGGACACCCTCCCCCTCACGGACACCCTCCCCCTCACGGACACCCTCCCCCTCACGGACACCCTCCCCCTCATGGACTCCAACCCTCACTGACACCCTCCCCCTCACGGACACGCCCCCCTCACGGACACCCTCCCCCTCACGGACACCCTCCCCCTCACGGACACGCTCCCCCTCACGGAAACCCCCCCCCTCACGGACACGCCCCCTCACGGACACCCTCCCCCTCACGGACACCCGCCCCCTCACGGACACGCCCCCTCACGGTCATGCCCCCTCAGGACACCCTCCCCCTCACGAACAGGCTCCCCCTCACGGACACCCCACCTCACGGACACCCTCCCCCTCACGGAACCCCCCCTCACGGACACCCTCCCCTTCACGGACACGCCCCCCTCACAGACACCCTCCCCCTCACGGACACGCCCCCCTCACGGATAGGCTCCCCCTCACGGACACCCTCCCCCTCACGGACACACTCCCCCTCACGGACACCCCCCCTCACGGACACCCTCCCCCTCACGGACACCCTCCCCCTCATGGACACGCCCCCTCACGGACACGCCCCCCTCACGGACAGGCTCCGCCCTCACAGACACCCTCCCCCTCACGGACACGCCACCCCTCACGGACACGCTCCCCCTCACGGACACGCCCCCTCACGGACACACTCCGCCCTCGGAGCATCGGTTTACACAGACCTCGCTGCCTAAATGGCTGTGTGGCTTCTGTTTGGATTCAAACCAAAACTTGAAAATAAGAACCAATTAACCCCAGAGCTGGCAGCGGGAAGGGAGATATAAAAAGAGCAGAAACAAGTGAAATTGAAAAGAACAGAAAAAAAACAGCACTAACAACACTGGTTCTTTGAAAAGGTCAATGACGTCAACGAACCTCCCTGCTAAGGGGGAGGAGCCAGGAGCCAAGAGCCGCGCCTCACAGGGAACCATCCTGACTCAGGCCCCAGGCGCAGCCATGGACGGGGCTCAGCCACGACCCCAGGCTCAGCCATGGACCCGGCTCAGCCACGGCGCCCAGGCTCAGCCACGGCCCCAGCTCCGCAATGAACACCAGGCTCGGCCTCGGACCCCGGCTCCGCCTCGGACCCTGGCTCAGCCTTTGAAGAGCAGTGTCCCCGGTGACTTAGCATTTCCCCGGATCATGGGGGGGAGGTGGGAGTGACCACTGTGTGACACCGTGTCCCCTCACCCTGGGGCAGCGATGTCCTGTGAGTCTGAGCCACAGCGACGGCGTCCACGTGGAGGCGCTCCGGGCCTGGCCCTGGTCCTGGCGGCCAGCCCTCCGCGGCCTCTGCTCCCGGCGGCTCTGAGCACGAGGGTGCGCTGCTCCCCGCGGCGTCTGATGGCCGCTCCTGCTCCTCCGGACCCGAGGCCGGTGCCCCCAAATACGTACCACGCGCTCCACCAGCCAGTCCCAGACCCTGTGACCCTCCTGCCCTCCTCAGTGACCTGTGACCCTCCCGTGTCCTCAGTGACCTTCCTGTGGAGGCTGCAGTCCCACAGGCAGCAGAGAGGGGGTGCACTCCGATGGCCACTAATGCTCACGACACCACCGCCGCCGTCTGAGAACCCTGTCTGCGGCCAGGACCCCCTCTGTGCTGAGGGGACAGGCGCCCTCCGTGGCAGCAGCGTCGTCCTCGCCCGGACCCCTCAGCCTTAATCACGGGGTGGCCTGGTGCCCGGGGGCTTGGTCACAGGGATGACCAGGGCCTTGTGGCTACCGGGCCACGGGCTTTCTGACTCCGAGTGGCGTGGTCTGCAGGCGGCCTGAATGTTGGGCCCACGTGGGGTGGAGTCGCCCGGGTCCCTGCGGGTTGGTGGCCCTTCTTCCTGCTCTGGGCCGGTTTCTACCTTTTTCTGTGTCGGCTCCTGCCCGGGTTCCAGCCCTGACCCTGACTTGCCCAGAACACAGGGATGCGTGCTGCCTGTGGGATGCATGCAGCCGGGTAGCACGGGCACACACGGCTCTTGGCTCATTCCTCGTGGCTGCTCCCCACGGTGCCGCCTCCCTTGGCCAGCGCGGTCCGTGCCCCGGGCTCTGCCAGGCCCGTCTCTCCTCTCACCTGATGTGGGGCAACTTGGCACCACTGGCAGCGAGCGGGGAGCATGGGCGCCTCCATGCTGTTGGCATAACTCCTGACCCCTGACCTCATGCTGCCACGGAGATGGCAGGTGGCGGGGAGAAGGTGCGGCTCCGCCCAGCGTCCAGCGTCCAGCGCCGAGTGGATGTGAAGGCCCCACCCCCGGCTCAGGGACGTGCCCAGGGAAGGCCCGTGTCACTGGCCGCCGCCTGGCGATTGGCCCCCACCCCCACCTGCGCAGAAGGGGTTAAGATGCGCCACCATGCAAATTAGATGCAATTAATCCTTTTCATCAGTTGCAAATATACCTTCTGAACCCTATTAAAACATGAATATGCAAATACAGACCTTTTTAAATTCTCATTTTCAAGGACTTGGCATTGGGGTTTGATTAGTGAATTCCGTTAACAGCCTGTAAACCTGGCGCAAAATTCAATTTCCATTTCAAGTTTGAAAAAAAACAGAGGAGAAACACGGAGGCTGCTGGTAATTGAGCTAATTACACGGTTACTCTGAAGAGGCCAAGAGGCCGCCCTCCCGCCGAGTGGAGCCAGGGGCGGGGCCGAGGCCTGCCTGCAGGAGGCCCTGTCCATCCATTTTCCAGATGCGGACACTGAGGCTCGGTGCACCCAGTGGCTGGGCAGGGCCAGCACTGAGCGAGCCCCTCCTCCGGGCCCCCATCGAGGTCCGTGCAGCTTCCCGGGCTGAACTCGGTGCGGGGGTGGGGTTGGGGGGGAGCTTCCCGGAGGAAGCAGAGGGGCGGGCCCTCCTGGCTCTGCCACCGATTCCACGGACTCGGGAAACAGTCTCGCGGTGACGTGACGGTGACCAAACCAGACCCTGGACTGCGAGGCTCCGAGCCGAGGGAGACGGGGGGTGGGGAGGGGTGTGGGGGCGGCTGTCTGTGATGTGTGGATGGGGGCTCTGGACGTGTTGGGCTAAAGAAACCCGTTACACTCATTTCACTGTGTTGCCTGTGGCGTGTGGCCGGGCATTCCAGGTCACACTACGTGCTGTCATTGCGAGATGAGCCGTGGACGCAGCGGGCAGACACAGAGCAGTAGGAACGCCTGCCGCTCGCTGTGCACAAGACTGAAATGCACAGGAAGCAGCCCCGGGCGCCACGGTGCCCTGGGACCAGGGCGGGACCCAGGGGTGGGAGGTGTCAGGTGGGCGGCCAGCATGAAGGTCTTGACTGATGGACACGCTCTCAGGTGCTGGGGCGGGAGCCCGCGGCCTCACCTGCCGTCCTGCGTGTCTGTGTCCTTCTTCCCACGGTCACTGGGCCCAGGGGACCAAGGGTCCCCCCATGTCCTCATGTGGCTCAGTCTCCTCTTTCAAGATCCCAACTCCAGTCACCTGCTGGGGTGCTGGGGGCTCGGGTTTGGGGGACACAGTTGAGCTCACAGCAGAGGGCGGGTGAGGGTCGGGAGATGCTCCCTCGGGGGCCACAGTGTGTGGTCTGGGCCCCGCCCGGTCAAGGCGCACCAAGGAGCCCCGTTCTGGTAAACTACCCATTAGAACAAAGACCGACACCGCTGCTCGGCTGGAACAGGCCCGGAAACCAGGCCGTGAGGATGGGGCCAGCCCAGGGGAAAGGCTCACACACAAGACGGATGAAAAAATATACTTTATTGATGTCAGAGAGGAAGGGAGAGGTGGGAGAGACAGAAACATCAACGACGGGAGAGAATCATGGACCGGCTGCCTCCCCCATGACCCCCTCGGGGGGATTGAGCCCATAATCCCTGCATGTGTCCCGACCGGAATCGAACCCAGGACCCTTCATTCCGCAGCCGAAGCTCTATCCACTGAGTACCCCGAGTGTTTGGAAATGACAAGACCCCCAAAGCGCCGCGTCCATGGAGCGTCCCCAGGAGATGGTTCAGCGAGGAGACGGAGCAGACAGGTCAGGCCGAGCTGGGCCTCCGTCAGCTCTGGGGGCTGGGAGTGCAGGGGGAGGGGGGCAGGAGATGGGGCGCAGCCTGAGCCTCCCCGGTCCACACCTGCAGGTGACACACCAGCTCGCTGCTCACTGCCAGGGTCTGGACTCCAGGTGGCAGCCGTGCCCCGGGCAGAGCCTCAGGCCCACGTGTGGCAGAGCCGGTACGGGAGGCCCCGTGGCTGCTGCCACCCTGCAGGGCCGGGGCAGTGGCTCCCTGTGACCCATGAGCCGCTGGGCTCAGTGGCTGACAGGCCTGGCGCCTGCGTGTCCGTGAGGTGGCAGGCATGGCTTGGTCCCCATTGGGCTGCGGTCCACCTCCCAGGCTCCCAGCGGCCAGCCCCCGTCAGCTGAGCTGTGAGCATAGCCCAAGGCCCTGGGCAGGGCCCTCCTATGGGGCCATCCTCATGCATGCAGCCCCGCACCAGACCCTAAAGCCCAGCCCAGGACTGTGGGGAGAGGGTGCCCGGAGGTGTGAGCTGGGACCCAGGGTCCTGGCCTTGAGGTGGGAGGAAGTGGCCCAAGGTCCGAGGGAGGAAGGCTGGACTGGGGCCACCAGCTTCACAAAGCCTGGGATTCTGGGGACACCCAGCCAGCCTCTGCAGTGCAGAGGTGGGGGTGAGGGTCACGGGTCCCCTGGCAGGGGAACCTCAGGGGCCGGGCGAGTGTCAGATGTGTGCGCAGGGATGCTTTCCTCTGATGGCCAGGGGCCGGGTCCCCGTCTCCCTGGCTGGGCCTGTGTGGGGGCTGCCTGGGAGCCGGGCAGGCAGGGCAGACACAGCGAGCAGGCGGGCGGCCCAGGAGGAGCTTTATTTCCCAGGAGCCGGGCCCCAGTGGCGGCCACAGGTCCTGCAGGCTGCAGCGGGCGGGCTGAGCGGGTGCTGGGGTGCGGAGAGGGTCTCCCTGCAGGGGGTGTGGGCTCAGGGCGGCACTCCCAGCGCAGCTTCCCTGCCAGGTGGGGCCCCATGCCCTCTGGGGGCTCAGCCCCATCATGTCCGTCCGCCTGTGGGGCAGCGGCAGCCCGGTGGTGCAGTGGGTGGGGTGCCCCACCAGCCTCGGGCTCCTGTGAGGCCCCCTCCCAACTCCAGGCCGGCGGCAGCGAGCAGGCCCAGGCAGCAGGCCGGCGCCCTAGGCCAGCGTCTGGCGGCTGAAGAGGTCGAGGGTGAGGGCGCTGAGGAAGGCGGGGATGCTGTCCTGGCGCAGCAGGTGCAGCTCGATGAGCTCGGGCACCGTCCGAGAGAACTCCGTCTCCAGCAGCTGCATCCCGGAGCCCGAGGGTCCCGTGGCCTGCGGCGAGACAGGGCAGGGCGCGTGAGCCGGGCGGCCGGGGCTCCGCTCCTCCCCCGCGGACAGCGAGGGGCGGCCACGGCGGCCTTCCCAGACTCCTCTGGGCTGGGCAGACGGGCGGCCCCAGCCGCTGAGCCCGAAGCCTTCCCTCAGGCAGGGGGCCGGGCCCCGTGGGGGTCTCACCCACGTGTCTGGAATCAGCTCCAACCAGGCGACAAGGGGGCCGCAGAGTGAGCGCCAGGCAGGCCACCTGCTCGGGGACAGCAGGCCGGGCTCAGGCTGGGGCCTTGGCCCGGGGTGCAGAGCTCCTGAGCAGCCCCTGGGAACTGGGTAGCTCCTCTCTGACGCCGGAGCCCTCCCACTGACCTCCGACCCCATGACCCCTCATGGGAAGTCCTGTCAGGAGGGGGCTCCGGGGCTCCCTGTGCTGCCTCCCATGCAGCCCCTCGGGGAGCAGCTCTGCTCCGCGGCCTGTTCGTGCATTTCCCTTGTCACAGGCAACACAAACCATTTCTAAACAGAACGAGGGAAACCACTCTGACCTTTTTCCGAGAAAATCCTTCCATTTCTGCCTCCTGCTCTCGTTCTGAATTCCCCCTAAATGTCAGAGGGCCGGCTCTACTCAGCTGGGGTGTGGGGGGCGCCGCCCAGGCTGGGGGCAGCCCCGCCAAGCCCCTCGCAGCCCCACATCCCGAGGTGCTGGACTAAAACCCAGCGATGGGCACCCTCCCCGGGGCTGGGGGCCCTGACCTGCGTGGTGACCTTCAGGTCCCCTGGCTGACTGAGCAGTGGCGGTGGCCCGGCCCTGGTGCCATCTGGGCCCGTGCAGCTGCGGGGAGCGAGGCAGAGGCACCAGCCCTGCCCGGGGACTGGGGGCTGGGCTGGGGCAGGTGTGGGGTGGCAGGTGCCCAGGCCTTCCCTGCCCACCCACCCAGCCCACATCGAGGCAATCTATGATCCAAATCCCTACCCTGGGGGGGCTGCACCCCCACAAGCTACGGCCGTGGCACTGACACAACATGCCACCGCACTGGCCATCCGTCTGCCAGGCGTGCTCCCACACTGCCATGCTCCTGCGGCCCGCTGCCCAGGTGCCCATCGAGGGGAAATGGCGCCCTGTCAGCTGCGTGACTGTGCTGGACACACGCCTGCCCACGTGTTCCCATTACACGGGCTCCCTGGAGGTCGCCGCTGCTCTGTGGCCCATGGAGGGCGCACGGGACGAGGACCTGATGCCACCACAGTCAGGGGCAGACGAGAGAAAGGCAGGGGCCCAGCTGGCCTCACCCCGAGGGGCTGTGAGCACAGATGGAGGGTGCTGGGAGGCTCGGAGGAACTTAGGACGCAAAGCTGGTGCCCCACAGTCACACTGAGGCTCAGAGGCCGCGCCCAACCTTCCTGCAACCACGAGGGGCCAGGGGCATGCCACCCCCCTCCCCCGTGGAAGACCCCATCATCTGGGCTCGTGGTGGTGCCCGCCATGAGCCGCAGGTGCTCCTGGTCAAGCCCGGCCCCACGCTGCCCGCCCCGCCTTCCTGCAATCAGACCGTAAACCCACACCCCCAGCAGGACAAACACATGAGCTCTCACATCAATGTAAGGGACAGGCCACGCACACGGACAAAGGGGAGGCTGGTGGCCCCGTGGCCTCCTGGGAGCCCACACCCACACACTGACCCTGCCTGGCCCGGCTCTCGGGGAACATGGAGGCCTCGCCCTCGGCAGTCATGCTCCCGCGGGCTCGGCCTCCTGCTCGCCCCTTTGACCACGGGAAGTGGGCTCGGAGCTGAGGGGCAGGAGGGCGGACTGGCTCAGGGACAGAGCCGGGGCGAGGGAGGGCTCCATGTGGGCCCCTGGGCCACGCTCTCCCGGACAAGGTGTGGCGGCTGTCTGCTGCTGGGGGGGGGGGGTGCGCAGGCGAGCGCCCACGTGGCAGGAGGTCCCAAGCTCCCAGCCCTCAGGGCCGAGTTCGAGGACAGCTGGGCCGGACCTAGCACCTGGGGGACAGGCCCGCCTCTGGGAACCTGGTTTCCAGCTGCAGGCGGTGCTGAGGGCCTCGGGGTTAGGCACCCACAGGCTTCATAGCTGCTCAGACCCGGCGCGCAGGTGGCGTCGGCTCGGACAGCAGGCAGGCCTCTCCCCCTGCCCACATGCCTCGAACCTCAGACCCAACGCGGGTCTCAGAACAGGCGGGAAGGGGCCTCCCTGCCCCTGCAGGGGGGGTGGTCCTCTTGACCAGGTGTCCCTACTCCCCTGCCCCTCTGCGCAGGCCCACCTTGAAGACCAGGCAGTCATCCTGGCGCTCGGCGTACATGGAGGTCAGCCGGTACTGGCTCTCACGCGTGATGTCCACCTGGTAGCCGGTGAGCGTGTAGCAGACCTTGCGGAACTCCTGTACCTTGGCCTGGAAGACCTCCTTCAGCCGCTGGTTCCTCAGCTCCGCGCTCTCCACCTGCTTCCTCAGCTCTGCGGGAGGCACAGCCTCAGCCCCAGCCCCAGCCCCAGCCCCAGCCCCAGTTCCAGCCTCAGCCTCAGCCTCAACGGGCCGGCGGGTGGGCAGCATGGGCGCGGGCAGACCCCACAGACAGCAGCCTGGATGCTCAGCCGCCAGGGGCCTGGCTGCTGTGGTGTCAGCTGTGACAGGCTGTGCCCGGCAGCAGTGAGGGAACAGGGACCGATGCCCGACCCCCTGCCCAGCTTGGGGTCCCACGCCGGGCCTGGCTCCTCCCACACAGCGGTTACCACGGGTCCACCCAAGGTGCTTCCCGCGTTAAGACTGGGACTGTCCCCGCTAACAGGTGAGGTTGGCCCATGGAACACACATGTCCCCTTCCTGGGCTGGCCAGGAGCCCTCCAGGCGGGCCAGGGGGAGCCCAGCTGGCCAGGCAGGGAGTGGTCAGCGCGATTCGAGTCCTGCCCCCCCCGTGGGCTGAGTCCCAGGTTGAACCGCGGCCCCACGGAGAGGCTGCCTCGTCTGCCCCTGCAGGTGGAGTCAGCCGCTGCGAGGAGCAGACACAATCAGGGCACTTCCTGGAGGTGGGGAGGGGGGCACGGGGCCCACATTCCAGGGAGAGAGGCCCACCTACCCCTGGAGCCATCACGTGCCTCTGGCGGCCAGGGCTCACTGGCACGAAGCCACCTTCAGGGTGGCTGCCAGGCCCATGCCAGGCCCCGGGGGTGGGGGCAAAGAGAGCTGTGGGTGTGGGCTTCGCTTCCCAAGAGCTGGCAGCGGTGCCAGCCCTCCTGGTGCGCACAGGGCCACAGGTTTACCATGTGGCCAGGCACGGCCCTGGCAGAGCTGTCAGAGCCAAGACCAGGCTCCCCACAGCCGAGGCCTCGCATGCTCCCAGGCCGCGTGGGCGAAATGAGTGACAGACGGGCCTGGCCGTGGATGTGCCAGGACAGCCTCCTCCAGAGCTCAGGCCTCCTGGGCCCAGCGGCCACGGGCCAGACACCCTGGTGGTGTGGCCGCTCCGTCGGACCTCGGCGGCAGACAGAGCCAGTGGAGCAACAGGCGGCCCCCAGCTCTGCGGAAGGCTCTATGCCAGGCGTATCCCAGGCCCCTCGGGGCGGGGCCTTCCACTGGGCCCGGCCGCCTGTGCTCTGGGCGGCGGGTGGTCAGCCCGGATCAGGTCCACCCTGGAGCCCTCGGTGAGGCCGCGCCCTGCCTGGCGGTCTCCCATCCTCCTTCACCTGCTCTTTGGGTCCCGTCCTCCACCCACACTGGCCAGCAGATGCTGCCTGTGCCATGCTCGCCTTCCTCTCCTGCCCCCCGCTGCACTGGGCTCGGCCCCTGCACATCCTGGCGAGGGACAGGGACAGGGAGGGAAGGGCCCGAAGGAGCAGCAGGTGGGGTCGAGGCCCGGGGTGGGGCCATAGTGCCTGGGAAGACGGCGGAGGAAGGACCACGTGGGGACACAGCCTTGACGGGGACACATGGGAGCCGCTGCTCAACGTGAGGAGCTGGGTCTGGAGGGTGGACAGAGTCCCCGCACCTGGAGGCGCCTGGGACCAGTCCGCGCCCGCCCAGGTGGCTCGGTGCAGAGGCTGGGCCCAGGGGAAGAAGCCGGCACCCCGGGAATTGCTAATTCTGGGGGCACTGCTGGGCGGCTGGCTCTCCGCGCCACACGGGGCTGCCGGCTCTGCTTGGGCCCAGAGCTGGGCCGAGCTTCTACCCGGCCAGGACTGAATTATTCATGCCACGTAACTCCTAAACTACTTCAGTTTTACATTTTTAAATATTTAATAATTAGGCATCAAACATTTATGCAATTTTGTTAGCAGCGGTGGGAGCCGGTGCTGCAGGCCTGTGCCTGGTTTGCACCGGGCCTGGAGGAGGCAGCCGGCCCGGGCTGGACAGAGGTCCCCGGGTACCACCAAGGAGAGCAGGATGGGCACTGGCCTCTGCTGGCTCCTCCCGCAGGCGGCCTTCCCGCCCCAGATCCAAACCCAGGGAGGGCCTGGTGGCAGCAGGCAGCGAGGGGCACATGGCTGGTCTGCCTGATCCCCGCTGCTGTGCACTCAGGCAGGGGGGCCTTTCCAGGAAAGGGCGGGCGGTGCCACCGGCCCAGCGGCTGGCTTTCCTGACGGGCATGGGCGGAGCCTCCCACCGCCCGGGGTTCTCGCCTGAGCTGCCTGCAGCCCGCCCTGGGCCAGACTCCACATGAGCCCATGCCCCTGCTGGGCTGCAAATTGCACGTTTCACACCCGAGAGACACTCGCCCTGGAATTACACACAGATGAGCGGCGTGTGTGCCTGGCGTGTGCCGGGTGGCCCGGTGCGGCATTCACACGGGCGGGGCGTCTGTGTGATTAACGGCTCACCCAGCAAACAGCTGTCACCTTGCACAACAATGATCTGCAGAGACCAGCAATTACAGCCCCCGTCATGGGGTGGGAGGTCCTGGGCGACGGGCGGGCGCTGGTGCCGCATCCTATTCTCGGGGGCTCACCCCACTCAGAACGGAGGCAGCCAGAGCCCCGAGTGGAGGTCCGTGAGCCTAAGTGCCAGGCTCCCAGCCAGCCCTTCAGGAGTGAGGGGCCAGCTGAGCCCGAGAGGAAGCCCCACGCCCTCCCGGGGCCTCTGACAAGTGTGGGGACAGGCCCTGAGGTGGCGTCGCACCGAGGCCATGCCGCCAGGAGGGCCTGTCCCGCAGGCCAGGGGGCAGTGTGAGCCCTGCTGGGAGGACCGGCCCTGCACACGGGTCGCCGACAGGCTGGCCCCGGCCAGCTCCACGGGCCTGCGGCCCAAGTGAGGTTCCTCACAGCCCGCACCTCCTCGGACTCAGGGTCACTCCACTCTGGCTTCCATGAGAGCGAGACGGGGCTGCGCAGCCCTCGGCTGGCCCCCAGGTCGTACTGAAACGCTCACCCACGGTCCTGCTAACAACTCAGAGCCGCCCGGCAGGAGCCAACAGAGGCCGGCAGAGGCCACGCTGCTCACCCGCGGCCACCTGTTCGCCGGGGCTGAGGCTGTCGGTGTGGGGCCTGGTGTCCTCACACTCCCTCCAGGGCCACGCTGTTGGGACCCTCCTCACAGGCTGCCTGAGCAGAGGCAGCAGAGCGCCGGGCACCTCCAACTCTGAGAGGCTGCAGCGCCCTCTGCCCCGGTCCCTCGGGCACTGTGTGCAGTGACTCCGTGAGGTCACGTTCCTGGAGATGGTGCTGTGCCAGAGGCGGCGCCCTGGCTGGAGAGGGCAGCGCGTGGGGGCGTGTGGTAGAAAGCGCTGTGGCCGCTGCGCGGAGGCCCCGCCCATGGAGGATGCCCTGCCCCAGGGAGCATGGGTCTGCGTGGCGGGCGGCACGGACACTGACGCACAGACTTGTTCTGGGCCTGAGAAGCCTCGGCTGGTGGCTTCTCCATTGCAGCTCTGCAGGCCCGGCCTCCAGACCTGCCCGCCTTAGGACAGACGGACATACGGAAAACAGCCACCCCGTGGCCGTCAGGCCAAGCGGGCCTACCTGACACCTCCTTGGACGAGGGCAGACCCGCGGCCTCCAGGTCGGCGGGCACGGGGCCGCCCCGCTCCAGGGCGCACACCAGCTTCCGCAGCCGCTCACACTCCTCCTGCAGCCGCGCCTGGTCCTGGCGGCGGCTCTGCTGCGCCTCTCGGGCGGGGTTGGCGCTCAGGTGCAGCACTTTGGTCTTGCTCTGGTCGTAGTCGCCCTGCGGGACACAGGGCTGTCAGCACGGCGTCCGGAGAACGCGGGAGAGCAGGCGCTGTCCACGCCAGACCAGGCGTGAGGTCAGGATCCTCCCGTGGGGGCGGACACCGCGCTGGCCGTTTAGAGCCCCTTGGGGAGTCACGGTGCCCGCACTGACCTCGGGGGAGACAGGAGACGAGACCTCCCCCCCACCCCCCCAGGACAGTGTGGATGCTCGGGATCCGAGGCCCTTCTCTCAGCTCTGACCACCGGGGCACGGGCATCTTCCAATCACTCTCCTGTGAACCATCCGGACCGGCTTCTGCTCCCCGGCAGGCCACCCCCAGGCCACAGGTCACCCGCCAGGAGCCGGTCCCGGTCTCAAGGATGCAGTGAGGACAACCCCGAGGCCCTGCCTGGCTGAGCACCCAGCGCCAGGCAAGAAAACACTGCCCCCTGGCTGTGCCCGGGGAGGGCGTCTGCCGCCCTGGGCCCGCTGTGCATACTAAGAGAGCCTGCTGGAGGGAAGACGCGCGGAGAATGAAGAAGCCAGTTACAGAGGCCTGTTCTCATGCATATTAATCAGCCACCGGCTCAGGCCCAAATCGGCCTCTCCAACGGGAAGGGGGGCAGGAGAGGGGGCAGGAGATGGGTGTACCGCCCGCCCAGGCCGCACTCTGACCTTGTCTCACCACCCCGCCCTGGGCGGTGGCCAGCAGGGTCCCTGGGCGCACTGCTGCCGGGCAAGGCCCTGTGCTCCTCGCACACGGATCAAGACGGCAGCTACGTGAGCACCCCACGCCCCGGGAGGCTCGGGCGGCGGGCGCCGTGTCTAGTCTGAAAGTGGAAGCCGCCGGTCAGCATGTCGCCACCTGTGCCAACCGTGGGGGAGCCCAGAGCCAGGCAGGACCCCTCCGTTCGCCGGGCATGCCCAGATCCCCTCGACTAGAGGCTTCTGGCTACCGGAATACCATGTGCGCCTGGGACCAACCTTCCCACCTGGGGCGAGGCTGCTCCCCAGCAGGAGAGGCCCCGAGGGGGCTGATGGGTCGCAGCTCGGGTCAAACGCAAGGTGGGGGCACAGCAGAAGTGGCAGGCAGGGTGTGGCCACTGATGACTAAGGTGAACCCCGGTTCAGCTCCAGTGCCCACAGGGACTGGGGACTGGAGGGAAGACAGGACTCGGGCCCCGAGTGCTGGAGGGGGACGGGCATTCACCGCCTGCGTGTCCTGCAGGGAGGCCACCATCACTGTCCGTTCACCATCCCCACCTGTCACTCCATAGCGGCATGCAGCCCGGGCTGCGGGAGGAGCTGCTGAGATCGCTGCCTGAGCTCGCAGCCTCGCCCACTGCCTGTGCTGGTGAGCGTTGGCGGTCAGGGGGCAGAGGGGCGCCTGGCTGGCCAAGGGCAGTGAGAGGGCCGAGTGGACAGGAGAGCAGCCCCCAGTGCCCGGCTGCCCTGCCCACTCACCATGGACACCTCACGCAGGGACATCGCACACTCACCCCGCTGTGCAGCCCGCCCTCTGTCTTCTCCAGAACTTTCCATCCTCCCCAACGGGATCTGTCACTCTGCCCTCCATCTGGCCGCGCCCTCCACTTCCCGCCAGTGAACGTGGCTCCTCCAGGCCCTCCCTCGAGGGGAGCCAGGCAGTGTGTCCCTGTGGCTGAGGCACTGAGTGTCCTCAAGGCCCGGCCGTATCTCCTGTCAGTTTCCTTCCTGTGAGGCCGAGTCACGTCCCCTGTGGGATGGCCACGCCGCTCCCCTGTTCGCCATGGTGGACCGGACAGCGCCCGGCCGGCGGGGGGTGAGGTGTGGGGGTGCGGGCAGCTGTTTGAGCCCTGCCTCCAGCCCCAGGAGGGGGTGCTGGGTCGTGTGCTTCCAAGCAGCTTCAGCCGGTCTGCACCTGCGATGCCGGGGGGTGGTAGGGGGGTGGGGAGAGGGAGGTGGGGTCCTGAGACAGCGCTCTGAGCTCGCGCTCTGTCCACGGAACCTCTTCCCACGGAGAAGCTGTGGTCCTACTCTGAGCCCCGAGCACCTCCCTCCGAGCCAGGGAGCAGACCAGGAGCAGGTCCTGCGGGCGCTGCTTCCTCCCCGTCCTCCTGGTGACATGCCATCCACGTTCTGGTCCCTCCTGTCTCCCAGAACAGCTCCTGCCGGCTGCGCCCGCGCCCTCCACTGCACCCTCGTTGGCACCGTGCCGCACGGCGGAGCCTGGGCCTGGGCTGCCTCACTGAGGGGCAGGGCTGGTGGGCACAGTTGGGCCCCCGCACGGACCGGAGGAGCTGAGCCCCAGGGTCCTCGCCTAGAAATGACCATCACGTCTAACATCTAGGCTGGTGGAGTGCCGAGTCCCTAACTGTCCATTAATGCTTCGTGAGGACATGTGCACCCCGGCTCAGCTGCCAGTGCCCACAGGGCAGCGGCCACACACGACTCGGGAGGAGGCCGGTGGAGGCCGAGGCGTGGGAGCAGCGCCCGGGACCGGTGGTGGCACCGTGCTGGGCTCGTGCTTTCCGGGTCTGAGTCCAGTCAGAGGCAGAGGGGCTACACCGTCTCCCGAGAGTCGAAGGGAAGAACCCCAAGACCCCAAGGTGGCCCTGGGGACGCCTGCAGCCTCCCCTGCCAGTGGGGGCTGGGCCAGTGGCGGGTGTGAGGCCACAATGAGGCGCTGGCGCTGGCGCTGGGCCCGGGAGATGAGATGGGGCTTAATATGCAGGACACGTCCCTCTCCTCACAAACCCCCAGAAATCAGCGCTGTGGGCCGTCTCCGCACAGACGCACACCAGCGCGCTGGCTGGTTCAGTCCCGGCGTCAATAAACATGAGCCGCCTGTGCCACGGGCGGGGGTTCAGGCCTTTTCCTTCATTAGCGTCCTGTCTCACACCCCTCCCTCGGGAGAAAAGGCCCGGGGAGCAGGCGGGCCGGAGGGCAGGTAGGCAGGCTGGGGGCAGGCAGTCCAGGGGCAGACAGGTTCGGGGGGCAGACAGGTTGGGGGGGGGCAGGCAGGCCAGGGGGCAGGTAGGAGGGCCGGGGGGCAGGCGGGCCGGAGGGGCAGGCGGGCCGGGGGGCAGGCAGGCTGGGGGCAGACAGGTTGGGGGGGCAGGCAGGCCGGGGGGCAGACCCTGGTGGATGCCGAGACCCCACGGGTCCTCAGAGGCTGGGGCAGCCAGGACACAGAACCGGGCAGAGCATGCACCTCAGGGCATAAGCAGTCAGGCCTGGCACCAGGAGGTAGGTTGCCATCCCTGCATGTGGAGCCCAGAATCTACGCGTGCATATAGGCCGTGGGGCTGCAGACAGGCACGCATGTGTCCTGTCCCAGTGGCACGCAGAGTCCCAGCGTGTGGGCAGGTACAACGCGACATGGTGGGTAGGCAGAGCCAACAACAGCCAACATTGACGCCCATTTTCACGTTTCATGAAATCGAGCAAAACTAAAGCTGAGGGGCTAGCTATGTTGGTGCGGACGCCCATGTGACACAGTCAAGAGCTGCTGGGGAGCCCTGCAGGCCCGTGGGGGCGAACGGGACATCATACACGGAGCACTGCAGGCACCAGTGAGAACCACCCAGAACTGGGCCGCTCGGAGACACTCGAACGAAGGGAAGACAGAAAACTGACCCAGAGCCACACAGGCTGGTGAGGAGGACAGGGGCTTCCACCAGAGGTGTGGGTGACGAGGAAGTCTCCAGAGAACAGATGAGGCCATTCAGACCCTCAACATCAAAGCCACAGGCAGGCTCCCAGTCAGACAGATTGGAATGTACAGAAGGACAGAGAAACTGCCTTGGGGGCAGGTGGGGATAGGTGGGGCGGATGGTGGCAGGTGGGGTGGATGGCGGCATGTGGGAACAGGTGTGGGGATGGGTGGGGGCGGGTGGGGGCAGGTGGGGCGGATGGTGGCAGGTGGGGATGGGTGGGGGCAGGTGGGGCGGATGGTGGCAGGTGGGGTGGATGGCGGCATGTGGGAACAGGTGTGGGGATGGGTGGGGGCAGGTGGGGGTGGGTGGGAGCAGGTAGGGGCGGATGGTGGCAGGTGGGGATGGGTGGGGGCGGGTGGGGACAGATGTGGCAGCAGATGGGGGTAGGTGGGAGTAGGCAGGGGACAGGTGTGGGCAGGTGGTGGTGGGAGAGCTGGTGTTCAAAGGCTGACAAGCTTGCCCTGAGCGGCGGCTGTGTGACAGTGGGGGCTGGGCCTCACAGCATGCTGGGAAGAGGGCTCTGAGGGGAGCGGAGCAGTGAAGATCCCCTCCCTCCCCGTATTGGGAGGGAAGGGGCGGAGGCGGAGCCTGTGGTTAGAGGGCACTTCCTGCTGGTGAGGCAGGGGCAGGAGCGGCCGGACTGAGCTCTGCTCACAGGGAGCCCAGCGATCTTTTACCCACTCCGTTCCCCAGGCTGCATTCATGTAACATGTCGGGGGCTGCGGTCTGGGCCCCTTCCTGCATGCCCAGAGGCCGGCCAGGGCGGGCAGGCCTCCATGGGAACAGGCTCCCACGCCCACTACCCACCACCACCACCCACCTCCCACCTCCTGCCCAGCAGCGTGGCTGGCAGCCCTGGGGCCAGGCTGGGCTCAGCCCTGGGATGAATTCTGCTTAATTACACGCGTGCCGACAGGGCAGGGTACAGATGTTTGCAATTTGCTTTAAGACGCATCAAAAAAGTTAAAGAGGATGCGTGGATAGGTGGAGGGGAGAGAAGTGGGTGGAGGGGAGAGAAGTGGATGAGGAGAGGAGGATGGGAGAGAGCGGGTGAGAGTTGGGGAGAGAGGGGGATGGGAGAGACAGGGGATGGGGGATGGTCGGGAGAGACAGGGATGGGGACAGAAGGGGAGAGGGGGATGGGAGAGAGCGGGTGAGAGTTGGGGAGAGAGGGGGATGGGAGAGAGGAGAATGGGGGATGGGGGAGGGTCGGGAGAGACAGGGATGGGGAGAGATGGGGAGAGGGGGATGGGAGAGGGGGAGGGGGAGGGAGGGGCACGGGGAGGTGGAAAAGTCACAAAGTGGCCACAGGAAGGTCTGTGATGGGCCGGATGTGGGTAAGTGGGTTCACGTGAAACTTTTTCACTGCTGGCGAGTGTTCAGGAGCCGCTGGGAAGACCCACACGCTGCACACGGCCGGCCCCGCACAGCCCGGAGCGTGCAGGCTCAGCGCCTTGCCCACGGGGGGCGCTGGGCCTCTGACACCTCGGGAGCTCCATCGTGGCTTATGAGAAACACAAATGTAGGGGACACGCATATGTGTGTCACCCTCCGTGCTCGGAACATGGGCTGACCCTCCCGGGCGGGGCACAGCCATTCCCTCGGTTCTGGGAAACCGCGGCCGGTCACCCTCCAAGCCACGGGCCAAGATGCTGGGCCAGAGGACAGGCGGGAAGGCGGGTGGCGTGCGGATGCGGGTGGGGAGGGCAAGCGCTCCCCACTGTTCCCTGGCGTTCACAGTCTGCTGCCCACGCCGGTGTAGGCACAGCGAGGACCCCACTGCCTCTGGCCCACGGCTCCCGACACTTGCACTTGCTCAAACGTCTTTGAGGACATGTTCAAACCCCATTCTGCCTCTAAAAAGGGGTGCCTGAGTCCTGGCCAGTGTGGCTCAGTGAGTAGAGCATCGGCCTTCCAATTGAGGATCCCGGGTTTGATTCCCGGTCAGGTCACATGCCCAGGTTTTGGGCTCGATCCCCAGTCGGGGGTGTGCAGGAGGCAGCCAATCAGTGATTCTCTCTCATCCTCAACGTCTGTCTGTCTGTCTCTCTCTCCCTTCCTCTCTGAAACCAATAAATATATGTTTAAATAATTAACTAAAAGGGGTGTCTGAGTCAGTCAATGGAGGGTTGACTAACTGGGCCTCAGACTCCCCACCTCTACATGGGGCCCCCAAGTTCCTGAAGGAGCCACGTCAGAGGTGCACACAGGCCACCCCAGGGAGCCCGCACCGCAGGAGGCCCCCAGCCCGGCCCAGGCCCGCGTGAGCACCGCTCCGAGCCGTAGGGAGCGCCGCCCCCTCCCGCCCCCCTGCTGGGAGCGGATTCCCAGCAGCTCTGACTGGGAGCCGCTGCAGCACAGGCTCCCAATTAGGGCAGCCGCAGCTGAGCTTAATCAATCTTCCTTGAAGCGGCCCAACCCCAAGCTCCTCCAGAGGGGGAGGGGCTCGCACAGGACACTGGAGCAGCAGGCTGACACTCGGCGGACACACGCCAGGCGAGCTGAATGCTGGGCCTCTCCATCTCACGCCACGGCCACGGCCACGGCCACGGCCACGGTGACCGACAGTAGTTGTGCAGCAGGGCAGAGGGGCGAGGAGCTCCCGCCTGCAGAGCTGCGGCCAGGAGCTGGGAGGGCGTCCGCGCTCTCCTGCTGCTCCCGGGCCCGGGCAGAGGGGAGATGAGGTCTGGTCCTCTCGATGCAAAAGGTAGAAGTGGCAACCGATGGACGTGAGCGCTTACCAAGCATCGACTGTGCCAGGCGTGGTGGGCACGGGTGGTGTCGCTTCCCTGACTTATAAAGGACACACTGGGGGCTCAGAGGGCAAAGCCATGGTCGCCTGCACTACCAGCTGGGGGCTGAGTCCCAGCTCACACCTGCGGCCTCAGAGGCTGGACCCGCCGTGAATGACTCCCTCCGTCCCCCGACCCCCGTCACTCTGCACCCCATCCCGCCACCAGAACTCGCCCTGAGCCAGACGTGAGGTTTCCTTGTCCTCCTGCCACCACCAGAAAGGCCGTGTCCACCTGAGTGCTGGCCTCTGCCCCTCTGCCCCGCTCAGCTCCTGCCGGCGAGCGCCTGGGACCTGGGGCAGGACTCACTGACGGCCGCTGGGGAGGCCGGGGCCCTCAGCAACTGCCGGATGGAAAAGCCAGAACGCGCCCCTGCGCCTCTGACCGCCCCGCTGCCGCTGGCTCCCCCTCTGCCAGCAGCCGGCTCCCGAGCGAGGCCGCGGCCCACGGTGTCTGAGCTACAGGCGGCGCTCCCTGCGCCCGCTCCCTCACAGCTGTCACCCCCGCGTCTCCAGGAAGTGGCCGTGGAAACGGGATGGGTTTGCCTCCCGTAGGTGTCCCGGTAAAAACCGAGGACCTGCTCAGAGCCCGGTGGCGGTAGCAGGACGGTGCACACGGGACAGAGACAAAAGCAGCGAAGCCGCACGGTGTGAACAGCAGGCCACCCTCCCACTGCCGGGCGGGCTCAGCCAGCCACACCACGACCCTCCCTTGGCGGCGTGGACACACGGACAGGTGTCCTCTCGGGGCCCGGGACATGTGCTCCCGGCGAGCGGGCGGTGCGTGCCCAGAGGAGGGCGGTGGGGCAGGGACGCGAGCGGCCGGGCTCCGGCGGGCTCACCTGCAGGGTGAGGTGCTCCAGCTGCGCCTCCAGCCTCCGCTTGTCCTCCTCCAGGCGGCTGCGCTCCCCTTCCAGCTCCTCCACCTTCACCCTGCAGGGAGAGGCCGTGACACCGCCGCCCTCAGGGGAGCGGTCACGAGAGAGACCCCAAGTTCTGCTCCCAGATACACAGACGTGAGACTGAGTCCAGGGGGACGTTAAAAACCCTGTAGAGGCTGGTGCTGCCACCACGGCCTCGTTCCGATGGCAAGCCCTGGCGGGAGGGAGTCCCAGGCCACCCTGGGCGGAGGCGGGACCGGTGGCGCCAGGTGAGAGGGCTGCGAGGACCCGGTCCCAGCAACAAGGCGGTTGCGGCCCACAGGCCGAGAACCTCTGTTCTCTCTTTTTCAACATCCTGTAGTTTTCTAAGTACAGGTCTTTGGCTCCTTGGTTAAGTTTATTTCTAAATATCTTATTATTTTTTGCAATGGTAAATGGGATTTAGTTTCTCTTTCTGACAATTCATTATTGGTGTATAAAAAGCCACCGATTTTGGGATGCTGATTTTGTATCTTGCCACACTGCCAAATTCATTTTATAAGTCTAGTAGGTTTTTGGTGGAGTCTTTAGGGTTTTCTATGTACAATATCATGCCATCTGTGAATAATGAGAGTTTTGCTTCCTTCTTTCCAATTTGGCTGCCTTTTATTTCTTCTTGTTGGATTAGAGACTTAAATGTAAAATGTGAAAGTACAAAACTTTCAGAAAAAACCCAGGTGAAAGTCTTTGATACTTAGGGCCAGGCGAGGACTTTTCAGACGCGGCATCTAAAAAAAAGGCGTTCCACTGAAATGACTAATTTGACTTGATCAAAATTAGGAACTTCTGTTGCATTAAAGACACTGATAGGAGGGAAAGACAAGCTAGGGACTGAGGGTCAGTAAGTGCTGACCAGACTGGCACATGGAAATGCCTAGAACATAAAGAACTTGCCAAAAGGAAGAAGGAGCTGGTGACAGATCTGAAGGGCCGCACGAGGAGAATGCAGAGGACGAAGCGGCCAGCAGAGACCAGCATTGGCTGCTGCGAGAAGTAGGCGATGCCAAGACAAGGCCCGGCACCCCCAGGGCCGGCCGAGGACACAGAGGAACCAAAACCTCTCTTCTGTCCCCACCCACCTCTCACAGGCTTACGCTCCACACAGGCTTACGCGCGGCCTCGGAGTGGCACCTGGCCCTCCCGAAGCGTGGGCGCTGAAGCCGCGCCGCCGGCTCTGTGGCACAGCCACTGCTGGCACAGCGCCCACAGCAAGCAGAGCCGTCAGCAGCCGGCGGTCCCCGCAGGCCCGCGCTTCCTCTGCGCACTGCACACAGCCCGTGACCTAACTGGTGCTAAGCCCGCGTGGGAGAACAGGAGAGGAGCAGTCCCCAGTGTCCCGTTGGCCCCACATGGCTCTTCCGGGAAACACTGACCATCCCCTGGGCCAGATCCTCAGCCCTGTTCTCCACTCTACGGGTGACAAACAGAGTCCCGCCCCTCAGCAACTAGTGGGTGATGTTGGAAGTGGGAACCAAAACTCAATAAACATTGGATCAGGTTCAAAGTAAGTCCCACCCCTCAATTACCATTGGGTGAGGTTAGCAGTGGGACCTGCCACTCAATAAACATTGAGTGAGGTTCAAAGTGGGTCCCGTCACTAAACAACCATTGGGTGAGATACAAAGTGGGTCCCACCCCTAAACAGCCATTGGGTGAGGTTGGAAGTAGGTCCACAAGGCAGGGCACAATAATTACAGAAACACAGATCTCTCTAAACCCACACCTGTAGGCCCAGCCCCTTTTGACTGGTCCCGCCTCCTCCTTCCTGCTCATGCCCATTCTACCTTCAAGGACCCGGGGCAATTGTGTCATGCCAGAGCACTTCCTCACCCTCCTTCTTCCTCCCATTACCAGGAGGCACTAGGTATCTCTCTCCCAATGCTCAGATTGTGGGATGGAAATCACAGCAGGTGTATAGTGATGATCCTGGCAGACACCCCAGGATCCTGGATTCCAAGGCCAACATCAATATGGATCCACGGATACATCATGTTGGTACCACATGTCCTGACTCTGTGCAATGAGCATGCTCCACACACACCTGCGGTGCTCTTCCCTAAACCCCAGTCTGTTATGAGGAAAACATCAGAGAATCCAAAAGGCACCCTTCAAAACACAGGACCAGCGCGGTGCCGCCACACACGGCCAGGGAGGCCCTGGGAGGGGCGGCTGAGAAGCTTGAAAAGGACAGACGAGAAGAAAGCTGGGCCCCAAGCCCACAAGCCGAGCCTTTATTTTGTAGCAGATGCCAGGAGGGAAAGCAAGCACTTGGTCAAGATGCCTACAGCTTTCTCAAGGGTTCCCATCCTACTCCATTACATGCACCTGAGCAAACCTGGGTTACCTGCAGCCTATATCACTCAGGCACGTGGGGCCCGGTGTTCGGACCATGGGTAAAAGCTTACAACTCCAGCTGCTGGATATAATTGTGCTGGGAGGCTCTGCCTTCCCAGCTGGGACATGCACATGGCCAAGAGAGCACTGGGTCCTCCCATGAGTCCCGGTCTTGAACCTGTCCACATGCTGTAGGCCCTCTCCACACAGCACCCTCTGAGCTCGTCAAGGTCATCCAAACAAGGACGCCTGGGAGACACTGCACAGATGGGGCTAAAAGCAGCGGGGATCTGGGTAGATCCTCCAGCAGAAGAAGGATATTAGTGAAAGACTGGGGAAACACAGGTCTACAGTCCGGTTCAAGCACGGCATCAGCATTGACTTGTTAGCTGTGTCGGCACCGAGATTACAGAAGCTGTGAACAACAGGAGAGACTAGCTATGCAGACCTGTGCGCAGGAACCCTGTACTCACTATGCAATTGTGGGGGAAATCTAGAATCATTCCAAAACAAAACATTTATTTTTAAAAATGTAATTAACAGCGCTGACCAATTATGTTCAGTGGTAAGAGCATCAGCCCAAGGACTGGTTTGTGGGTCCAACCCCTCAACAACCATTGGGTGAGGGTGGAAGTGGGTCTCATCTCTCAAAAACAATTGGGTGAGATTGGAATTGGTTCTGACCCTCAGCAACCATTGGATGACATTTTAAGTGGATTCCGCTACTCAACAACCATTGGGTGAGATTGCCAGTGGGTCCCTACCTCACCCAATGGTAGTTGAGGGGCGTGACCCTCAACTACCATTGGGTAAGGTAGGGAGTGGGTACCACCCCTCAACTACCATTGGGTAAGGTAGGGAGTGGGTACCACCCAACTACCATTGGGTGAGGCATTGAGGTGGGTCACGCCCCTCAACTACCATTGGGTGAGGTAGGGAGTGGATCCCACCCTTCAACTACCATTGGTTGAGGTTGGGAGTGAGTCTCGCCCCTCAGCAACCACTGGGTGATGTTGGAAGTGGGACCCACACCTCAACATCCATTGGGTCAGGTTCAAAGTAGGTCCCACCCCTCAACTACCATTGGGTGAGGTTGGCAGTGGGATGGCGGCTCCGGGCAGCAGGAGCGGTCTGCTCCAGCTGAGTCTTCGGTGCCGCCATTGTCTTCAGTCCCCACTCTTCCTGAAAGGAGCGGTTTCGTCCATACATGTGCCTGGGACAGACCCGTGCACTGCATTATACAGCCAACGTGACTTCTACACAGATCCATGTGCATGCGTGTGCAAGTGGGTGTCCATGCGTGTGCACGGCAATGGCACCACCTGTGTGTCCTTCCAGAACCTCTCCCCACACGAGGTGGCAGCAGCAGGGGGAGGGGTGGCATAAAGGCCCAAGGCATAGGAGGGGGGATAGAGCAGGAAGGCTGGGCTGTGGGGCACCCTCCTCAGGGTGTCAGCACCCCTCCCCAAAACCAGAAAGGCTGCCTCTCAGGCCCCGTGTGGCTTCGCGGGAAAGACCCAGCACAGCCTAGACGGGCTCAAGGTCGCCGAGTCCACACAATCGTCACGTTGGTGATGGGACAGAGGCATTTTCCGCGATGGGTGGGCCCTTCAATACGGGCAGGAGGGCGGGCAGCCGCCTGAGAGGCGGGCCCAGAGCGGGACTCTGTGAAGAGGGTGCTGGAAGCCAGGCACCTGGTGGGTTTGGATGAGACGGACGTGGACATATGAGCGGGGTGCAGGGGCGAACCTGGCCAGGAAGAAGGGGCCACTGCATGCCCTGCCGGGCCGGGGTCCTGTCCGTGTGCTGGGGCCCTCCCAGAGCCTGTCCTCAGCCTGCTGCCAGGGCTCAGGAAGCCCCAGATGGGACGGCAGGCACGCAGCCACACCCACGCCAGCCCCCACGGGCGGGGCGGCTCCTCCGGGCAGAGCGTGGCCACAGGCGTGGCCTGATTTCTGTTAAGGAGCCAGTGGCCTCCCACAGCTCATTCTCACCCAGCGCGTCACGATGCTGATGAAAAAGCCTTTATCTTAGATTTTACAAAATAAGCAAAAATGACCAAGTCCAAAGCGTGCCAGCCCACATGCTGGCCGCGCGCCTGGCCGTACTCAGGTTCACGCAGACGCGACTGAGTGGCCGGCGGTGGCAGCACGGGCCAGGCTCCCAGGCGGCTCCCGGGAGGAGGCACCACCCTGCCCATTGGGGCCGGGGTTCAACCTGAAGCTCATGACCCTTCGGGCCGAGGGCTGGCGCTCTAACCACTGAGCACTGGCCAGGGCTGTGCTTACTCTGCACTCTGCACCCAGAGAGTGTGGGGGACAGTGTCAACGTGCCCATTGGGGGACCCACGGAGCCGGGAGCAGGCGGTCGCACAGCCCCCAAAAAGCCTTCCTAAGGACGTGCTGCGGTCCAGGCGGAGAAGGGCCGGGAAGGCCTGCAGCGCCCCTTCCTGACACGCAGTGTGCATGGCAATGGTGTGGCCAAGGGGCAGCCCGCGGCCACGCACAGGGGAGCGTGTCTGGGTGGCTGCTGCTCTGCGAGGTGTCTGCGTGTCTGGGTGGCTGCTGCTCTCCCTGGAACGGGGAACGCAGCCCCAGAGGGCCCTGCTGGCCACAGACTGGCCCCGAGGGCGGTGCAGCAAGCCCAGTGCTCTGAGCGGGGGCACCGAGACGCCCGGCCAGAGCCCCCCTGAGGGAGGTGGGAAAGGCCCACCGTGGGCGCGTCTGTGCAGAGGAGCTGAGTGCGGGGGCGGGGGCGGAGAGGACAGAGTCCCGGGCGGAGAGGACAGAGTGCCCGGGCGGAGAGGACAGAGTCCCGGGCGGAGAGGACAGTCCCCTGGGCTGAGAGGACAGAGTCCCGGGAGGAGAGGACAGAGTCCCGGGCGGAGAGAACAGTCCCCCGGGCTGAGAGGACAGAGTCCCGGGCGGAGAGGACAGAGTCCCGGGCGGAGAGGACAGAGTCCCGGGCGGAGAGAACAGTCCCCCGGGCGGAGAGGACAGAGTCCCGGGCGGAGAGGACAGAGTGCCCGGGCGGAGAGGACAGAGTGCCCGGGCGGAGAGGACAGAGTCCCGGGCGGAGAGGACAGAGTGCCCGGGCGGAGAGGACAGAGTCCCGGGCGGAGAGGACAGAGTCCCGGGCGGAGAGGACAGAGTGCCTGGGCTGTGGGACAGGGAGCGGGCAGGCGGGCAGGACGTACCTGAGCTCGCTCGCTTCCTCCCGGGACAGCAGGACGCTCTGCTCGGCGGGGCCCGCCTGGGCCTGCAGCACCTTCAGCTCCATCTCCAGCTGCGGAAACAGCACAGGCTCAGCCGGGACCGCGTGGGCGTCCCTCCAGACAGAGGCTCTGGAAGCACCCACCTCCTAGTCACCAATCTGAAACACGCCTTAAAGACGGCCTCACGTGCCAAAGCCGGTTTGGCTCAGTGGATAAAGCGGGGCCTGCGGGCTAAAGGGTCCCGGGTTCGATTCCGGTCAAGGGCATGTACATTGGTTGCGGGCACATCCCTGATGCTGTGGACATAGCACCAGGCCTGCAGTGCGATGGCAGCACGGGCCAGGGGGGTCTCTGCAGGAGGCAGCTGATCAATGCTTCTCTCTCATCGATGTTTCTAACTCTCTATTCCTCTTCCTCTCTGCAAAAAGTCAATAAAATATATTTATAATTTAAAAAAAAAAGACGGCTGCTTGTACAAGGAGGAAACCCTTCCTGCCTGGTGTGGCTCAGCGGACCGAAGGGATTCTGGCCAAGGGCATATTCCTTGGTTGTGGGCACATCCCCAGTGGGGGGTGTGCAGGAAGCAGCTGATCGGTGTTTCTAACTCTCTCTCTCCCTTCCTCTCTGTAAAAACATCAATATATATATATTTTTTAAAAAGGAGGAAACCAGTAGGGTTTACAGAGGCTGCTGGGAGCTGAGCATGAGGACCGTTCGGTGGGCGAGGGTGAACAGCTGGATCGTGGGAATGGGCAGGGGTGCCCTCAGCCAGACCCGTTGGAGCGGAGCCCGGCCACGTGCTGCCAGCCAGCGCAGGGCGACAGGAAGACAAGTGCATTAACTTGCAGCCGCCACCACCTTTCACGCGTCACCAGGAAGAACCCTCTTGGAGCTGCTTTGAAAACACACACAGGCGCACTGACTGCATCTTCTGGGGGACCCGCTGCACGGCAGAGGCCGGAGCCCTGTCCTGGGACCATCCACGCTCAGTGGCAGGACGGTGCCCGCCGGGCACAAGGCGACCAACGGGAGCGGGACGGCCCTGGGCCTGCTGCTGGGCAGAACAGCGGTGCCCTGACTGCCCGCTTCCTTCCGAACCCGGCCGCTCCTTCCCAGCTCCAAAGCTAATGCACAGACTGACATTCCTCTCTCGGCCTCTCCTACGAAGAGGCGTAATTACCCGCAGTGCCAGCTCCCAGCAAATCGCGTGCCAGGGGAGCGGCTGCTGCTCAGGCCGCTGCGGGAGCTGCTGACAGCTGCATGACCCGGGGAAGGAGGCCCCCCACCCCGGGGCCCCAGGAGCGCCAGGCAAGTGAGCCCTCAGCAACTGAAGGCCTGGGCCGGCCGGGCGCATCCTTAGGCCCCTCTAAGGCTCTGCTTCCCCACTGGTCACCGGCCGGGGGCACAGCCCCTCACACTCCAGCCTCTCAGCAGCTGGGAGCGAACTCCTGCCTGGGAAGGAGGCAACCACCTGCTTCCCACAGACCAGAGGTTAACCCAGGCTTCTAGGCGCTGCCTGGGGGGGGGGGGGGGGGGGCGCGCACAGCTCTGTGGAGCCATGAGCGGAGAAGGCCCGAGAGCTGAGCACTAACAAGTCTCCCCAGCACAGGCCTTGCCCGGGGCTCGGAGAGGCGGGTGAGGCTGGACGGTCCGGGCTTAGGAAGCTATTGAGGATTGGACAGTTCCTGCCACAGGCCCCTTGGCCGAGGGGCCTCCGCTGGGCCTCAGGGGAGCAGCCCTGTACCTGGGCACAGCGGGCACAGGGCCACAGACGGGCAGGAGACGGGTGCCGCAGAGGCCTGTCCCCTCCCAGGGTGTGAACACAGGGCAGACCCGGGCTTCCGAGTACCAAGGGGCTCCACGCCCCGCAGCAGCCGTGAGGCAGAGGCGGGGACAGCATGGCCTCGAGGTGAGGACTTGGACCTGACCACGAAGTGGCAACATGGCTCCAGGCATGAGGAACCTGGGAGCTGAGCGCTGGGCCGGCGTGTGGACGGAGAACCACAGGACTGAGAACCGGCCAAGGACCCGGCTGCCACGGCCTCCTGTCCAGGCTGAGCCTGCGCACCTGCCCGAGGCGCCGTCCCAGACGCCGCATTTGGGACGGGGCGAGGCCACTGGGACCTTCACGTCCCGAGTCTGAAGTGCCTGCACCCTCCTCGCACCTGCGGGCGGGCAGGTGTGGCACTGCAGTGGGGAGGGGTGTGTGGGGGGAGGGGAGGGGAGGGGGGGTATGGGGGGGGAGGGGAGGGTGTGTGGGGGGAGGGGAGGGCAGCGCAGGCACCAGGACAGCCAGTAAAGCGCCAGGGGCGGGTGGGCGGGCGTGATGGAGGCCCAGAGGCTCACGCGGCCCGGTCTCGGAGGGAGGGACTCACGGGCAGCCTGGTCGCCGGCCCCCCCCCCCCCCCCCCCGTTCCCGGCTGACCCCGCGGGGCTTCCCTGCGGCCAGGAGCGGACCGGGCTCAAGGAAGACCTCAGCCTCCTTCCCGGCCCGTGAGGGGTCAGGGCGTCTTAAACCGGAGAATGGCGCTCCTCTCCCGTGGGAGGCACACAGCGTCAGGGGAGTGTGTAGGGCACCTCTCGGCGGCGGCCAGGGCTCGGGGGTGGGGGTGGGGGTGGTAACACACAGGCCGGACGGCGCTCCCCCTACGGCAGCGGCGTCAGAGAGCGCGGCCTGTCCCGGTGTCTAAAGGTGTCTGGGGTTTCTGCCCCCTCCTCTCCTGAACGTGCACTCACTCGGCCAGAAACCAGCAGGCGAGGGAGGGCGCGCCCAGTGACCGCCTGAGTCCCGCTGTCCTGGGGCCAGACCCGGCCAGCAGGGAGGCTGCCACTGGAACGGTGGGCCAGCCCCAGAGCCAGGCCAGGTGGCTCTCACTCCCTCCCACACGAGGCCACGCTGCCCAGAAGGAGGGGAGATGCAGGAGAAGAAACTGCCCCCGAACCTAGGGGAGGCCTGGCATTGGGGGGCCACTCCCTGCAGGGCCCACCCTGCCCGCCTGGCTGGCCTTTAACTTGGGCTGGGGGGCAGCATGGACCTCGGATGTTTGAGGGAGGTGCAGGGAGCAGAGGCCCTGGCTCCTGAGCATGAGCGCCTGCCTGCACCCGTGGGCACTGCCACTTCTCACCTTCCCTGTAGCTGAGGGACAGCTGCAGCCCAGACGTAAGGCCAGCGGGAGGGAGCCAGCGCAGGGCACCCGCGTGTACTCCGGGGCCTCGGCCACGGGCAGGGCTGAGAATCAGCTCAGGAGGGCTAGGCTCCCCTGCCGGCTCCGCAGGCTCCACAGGGACAGGCCGTCTCACCTAAAGGAGCTCCGCTGCCTGGGCTCGGCTGCAGGCCTGGCGCTATGCCCACAGCATCTCAGACCCAATGTGCCCTCCCCTAGCTCCCCTGACCCCTGACCCTGGGCCCTCTCCTTCAGTGTGACCACCCCTCAGTATCGCCCGGCCACCCTCATCTCCCCCCCAGGCCCTGCGCACAGCCACTCCTGGGCTCCAGGGCTGTGCTGGCCCCGCCCGCCTCGCCCCACCCCGTCCCCTCCTCCGGTGCCCTCACGGTGGCCCATCCAGGCCCTCCCAGCCCTGTCCTGCAGTGGGGGACACAGTGGTGGTGACAGCAAGGACATGACAGATATGCAAATTCAAGGACATGCCACTTCAACAGAAGGCAGCGTGCTCAAGGTCGGAGCTGACGAGAAGGAGGCGAAGATGCAGGAGCAGAGCTCTGGCCCGAGATGCGGCCCCCGGCCGCCCAGAGCCAGAGGCAGCCTCGCCCAGCACCCAGCCGCTGGCCTGGGCAGAGCAGCCAGCACACGCAGACCCGTGGCCTCCCTGTCCCAGAGCAGGCCGGGAGCCGGGCAGCAGGCAGGGCCTCGCAGCTGCACAGGACGAACGTGCTCCCACACAAAGCTCCCCTCCTCCCATCCCTCCTCCCCTCCGTGGTGGGGAGACACCCGCCTCGCCTGCACACCCGCGCCCCCACTGGGCTCTTGCTTCTCAAGCGCCCGGGGAGGCAGGGCCACCGTGCTCTGGCAGAGACCCACCAACAGAAGCAGCCTGTCCCGCGTGGGCAGGCGCCCGGGGCTGAAGGCACAGGCCCCGGGGCACGGCGTGACCTGGCAGGAGGCAGTCCCCGCCCCACCGTCCTCACATCGAGGCAGCTCCTCTGTCTCTGGGAGCCAGGACTCGGCTTCTAACCCTTGTGCCCGCTCTGCTCCCACCGCGTTTCTGACAAGAAGGGACGTGGCTGCCAGGGCCCACCAGCCTGCAGGACACGTCATGAGGGACAGGAACTCCCTGGGCGGGCCGAGGCACCCCCTGCTCCCTCTGCAGACCCCCAGGGCGTGGCCCGGACTCACCATGTCCGCTCTCTGCTTCTGGCTGCCCAGCTCCTCGAGTGCCTGTGACAGCTGAGCCTTCAAGAAAAGACAGGAAGTGGGATTAGTGGGCCCATCTCTGCCCCCCAAGCAGACGAGCCTGGGAAGAGCTGGCGCCTGGGGCGGGAGGGCAGCTGGGAGCCTGTGCTGGAGCGGCTGCGGCATTGTGGGAGGCAAGCTGGGTCATGTCCTGGGGGCAGGAGAGCAGTCGCCTCCTTGGTTCCAGAGGAGGGGGCCAAAGTCCAGCAAACCCCTGACGCCCCGCCCACCGCCACCAGCAGGACTTGGGGACCAGGCGAAGGACCACCCACCCCGGTGCACAGACACGGAAGGATCCCTCCCTTGGCCCCAGACGCTCAGAGGCCATGCTGGGCACGCAGGGCTGACTGGTCTGGGCTCAGTGAACACTCACAGCAGGCATTACACTGGGACCACGGCTGCAGCGGCAGCTGGGACTGGGGAGGACCCGCAGGTGTGCGTGCATGAGCCTGCGAGCCGTGTGGTGTGCACTGACATCTGAGGGCCACACTGGACATCTGAGACCAAGGCCGAGTCTGCATCCCCACGTGTGACCTCAGGGACCGGTCGGGGGCTCGGCGGGGGGGGGGGGGGGGGTAGGAGTTGCAGCTGTCACTGTGCGCGCCACCTACCCCCCCCCCCCCCAGCATCGATTCAGACAGCCAGCCAGCCACAGACGAGAATAGAAAAGATCGATGAACGAAGCTGGTTTTCAAAAAGATAAACAAAACTGACCAGCCGCGATCTGGATGAGCTGAGGGAAAGGAGGAACTCAGATAAATGAAATCAGAAACGAAAGAGGGGACCACACTGGACGCCACAGACACACAGACTGCGAACAGCTTCGCCAACAGCTGGAGACCCTGGAGGAACCGGGTAAGCTCCCCCCAAAACACGCCGCCTACCGGGCTGAGCCACGGCGAGACGGGAATCTGGACAGACTGACGTCTCACAAGGGGCTGGTCAGAGACAGAGCTCTCCGCAGGAAAGGCCCAGGCCCGGGGGCTCCCCCGGCGTTCCACCAAACACACTCAGAAAACCAGCACCAGTCCTGCACCTCGTCTGAGCCGGGCGGCGGAGCACGACCCAGGCCCCGGTGCGCGGGCAGCACTGCCCACACATCCACGGCGGCAAGGGCGCCACAGGCCAGATCCCTGCTAAACGTCGGTGCGGAATTCTCCAGACAGTATCGGCCAACGGAGCCAGCGACGAGGGGTCACAGACATAACCGAGTGGCAAGTCCATGAGTGGTCAGCACCCACAACCAAGCATGTGACTCACCAATGCACACACATGGATGACCATGATGTGAATATGTCGATAGATGCAGAAAGCAGTTGACAAAATTCAACCTTCCTTCATGATAAAAGTTAATGAGGTGCCAAAGGAATAGACTTCACCGTAACGCAGACCAGAAAGGACAGCTGCTGCTGACGGCACACTCCGCGCATAAGCTCAGGCTGCCCCCGTGGTCAGAAACAAGAGAAGGAGGCCACGCTCTCTCAGCACCGCTGTTCAGCACGGTGTGGGCGCCACAGCCACAGCCCTCGGGCCACGGAAGAAAAGAAAAGGCATCCAAACAGGAAGGGAAAAAGGAAAATTACCTGCTTCATAGAAAACAAGACTTCTCTAGAAAATTATGCTAGGAAATTAACTCAGTGAAGTTGCAGCATCCTATATAATAAAGAGGTAATATGCCTCAGCCCTCACAAGATGGCTGCCTACAACCAGGCTGGCAGGGGAGCTAGTGAGGGACCACCAAACAATTGAACAGCAGACTGCGTGGGGCAACCAGGCTGGGGCAGTTGGGGACGACCAGGCTGATGGGGGGGAGGGTGCAATTGGGGGCGATTAGGTTGGCAGGGGGAGCAGTGAGGGGCAACCAGGCTGGCAGGTGGGGTAGTTGGGGGAGATTAGGCTGGTGGGGGATGACAGTGAGGGCAACCAGGCAGGCAGGCAGGCAGGCAAGCGATTAGGAGCCAGCAGTCCAAGATTGTGAGAGGGATGTCCAACTGCCGGTTTAGGCCCGATCCCACAGGGAGTCACGACATCCCCAAGGGGTCCTGGATTGGAGAGGGTACAGGGTAGGCAGAGGAGCCACCCCCTCCCCCCGTGCATGAATTCCGTGCACCGGGCCTCTAGTATTAAAATATTATACAAAATAAGTTGCATTCCTATACATTAACAACACACTACCTAAAAATAAGCAAGCAATCCTGTTTACAATAGCACCAGAAACAATAAAAACTCAGAAGTACATTTAACCAAGGAGGTTAAAGACCGGCACAGTGAAAACCATAAGACACTGACGACAGAAACTGAAGAACAAGGGAAGACAGTCCACGTTCACGGAAGAAGTATTAGTGTTGAGACGTCCGTATTGAGCTAGAGATGCCACGGTGCCCAGGCCAGATTGGGTCAGTGGACAGAGTGCCAGCCTCAGACGGAAGGGTCACAGGTGCAATGCCAGTCGGCGGCAGGCACCTCGGTTGGAGGCTCAAATTCCAATTGATGTGGCTCTGTCTCTCCCCCTTTCCCACTCTCTAAAAAAATCCTATCTAATAAAAGAGTAATATGCAAATTGACTATCACTCCAACATATAAGATGGCTGCCCCCATGTGGTCAAAGATCCTGCCCCTATGTGGACACAAGATGGGCACCACAAGATGGCCAGCAGGGCAGGGAAGTTGGGAGGGACTAGGCCTGCAGGGAAGGACAGTTCAGGGAGATAAGGCGTGCAGATGAAGGCAGTTAGGGGTGACCAGGCTGGCAGAGGAGGGAAGTTGGGAGCGACTGGGCCTACAGGGAAGGGCAGTTGGGGGGGACCCAGGCTTAGAGGGGAGAGCAGTTGGGGGGGAACAGGCCTGCAGAGGAGGGCAATTAGGGGTGACCAGGTCTACAGGAGAGGGTAGTTAGTGTACAGGAGAGGGCAGTTAGTGGTGACAGGACTGCAGGGGAAGGCAGTTAGGGGCACACAGGCTGGCAGGGGAGCAGTTAGGCATCAATCAGGCTGGTAGGGGAGTGGTTAGGGGGTAATCAGGTTGGCAGGCAGAAGCAGTTAGGGGAAATCAGGAAGGAAGGCAGGCAGGCAAGCAGCTGGGAGCCAGCAGTCCTGGATTGTGAGAGGGATGTCTGAAAGGGCAGTTGGACATCCCTCAAGGGGTCCCAGATTGGAGAGGGTGTAGGCTGGGCTGAAGGACACCCCCTCCCCGTGCACTAATTTCATGCACTGAACCTCTAGAGAGTGTGTGTGTGTGTGTGTGTGTGTGTGTGTGTGTGTATAAATGGCCTGGCCGGTGTAGTTCAGTGGTTGAGCATTGACCTATGAACTAGGACGTCACGGTTCAATTCCTGGTTAGGGCACATGCCCAGGTTGCGGGTTTGATCCCCAGTAGGGGGTGTGCAGGAGGCAGCCGAATCAATGCTTCTCATCATTGACGTTTCTGTCTCTTTCTCCCTCTCCCTCTCTGAAATTAACAAAAATATACTTTAATAATTAAGTTAAATTAAGTAAATTAATGGAAGAATGTCCTCAGATGATGTTTAACAAAAATAAAAATTAAAGAAATAAAACTTCAATGGCAATTTTGACAGAAATAGGAAAAAGTAATTCTAAAATTCTTATAGAACACAAAAGACCCCAAGGAGTCCAAGCAATCCTGAGAAAGAGGAACGCCACTGGAGGCACCGCACTTCCTGACCTCTAATTATACTGCAGAGCTATCCTAGTCAAAGCAGCATGATGCTGGCGTAAACAGACACTGCGGTCGGGATTACAGAAGAGACAGGGGACGAGAAATCAACCCGCACACCCACAGTGCCCCCTGGCGAGGAGCCGAAGCCACACCCGGGAAGGAGGGTCTCCCATCCACGGTGCCAGAGCCACGCAGCTCTGAGGGGAACAGAGCCCTGCCGCTCGCCGTGTCAGTCTCCCGGACATGACACCAAGCGCACAGGCAACAAAGGCCACAAGGAACCAGAAGGGCCACACGCAGCGGAGCCAGCAGCAGGACGCGAGGCCGGGGCAGAGCTGCAGACCGCACCCCGACAGGGTTCCGCCTTGTGTCCACGAGGAGCCTGCGGCTCAGCAGCAGGACAGGTGCCGATGGGCATGGGCACAGGAGTGAGAAAAGCCCCAAAGAGCGCTCGGCCCGGAAAGGCGCTCAGCACCCCGTCAGCGGGAGCCCTGAGCCACAGCCACAGCCACAGCCACAGCCACAGCCACAGGAAGGCCCCCGGGACGGTGCTGTGGGAGGGCCTGTTAACGGAGCAGCCACTACGGAACTGAAAATAGAACGGAGCCACATGGCCCACGACCCGCCCTGGGAGTATGGCCAAAGGAAATAAAGCCTGCGTCTCCAAGAAACAGCCGTGCCCCTGCTCCTGCAGCCCGCCTCCCGGAGCCGCGACACGGGAGCGCCCCGCTCTGTCCGCCGACCGGGAGGCGGTGTGGCACTGCCAAGCGCACTGCGGACTCAGGGAAGCAGACGCTGCCACTGTGGCGACAAGGCGGGACAGGAGGACGCGATGCTAAGGAGACAGCTGACCAGAAAGAAAACACTCAGGATGCCACTGCTCTCTGACAGCCTGCGGAGCCGCGGACACAGCAGAGGGCGGCTGAGAGGGCAGAGGGTGTGGGAGCCAGAGGGTGAGGGCAGAGCGCACACTCTGGGGGGAGGGGGAGCGCCCGGGACCTCAGGTGCAGCCTGACAGTGACAGCTAATCACAGGGACTGCATCTCCAACTGGCAAGGAAGGAGCTCTCCAAGGTCCGGTGGAGAGACGGAGGAACCAGGCGGGCGGTGGCAGTGGAGTCAGCCGGTGTGTCTGTCTCGCTGTGTGTGCACGTGCCCGTGAGACGCCCAGGACAGCCTCCATGCACACGGCCTCACGTGTAACTCACACCCATCGAGCTGGTGCCTGGTCTCCACCCGCGTCACCACCGCGCGCCCTTCTGTGAAGCCGGAGACTAAACTGAGGGGCACCTGAGGGCCCCCCTCAGCCTGGCCGGAGCCGCCGTGTTGCTGGGTGCTGAGCAGGCCACCCCCCCACGTCACAGTGTGCCCGGGGCCCGGGCCACTCCCTTCCTGCTCGCCCGCTTAGCAGGTGGCTCGATTTCACCTGATGGTTCCACTCTGCTCCGCCGGTGCCCTCGCAGGAGAGCCCCCCCCGCAGAGGAACACCTTCAGGGGCCGGGAAAAGGGCTCTGGCCGGTGGGCGCGGGGTGGGAGAGCGGGCGGACTCTGGAGGAGACGCTGCTCTGAACGCTCGCCGGCTGGGCGGGGGACATGGAGCACAATGCTGCCCACTGTTCTCAGCTCCTCCGGAGCTGCAGCCTGGAGCCGGCTCCCCCCGGACCTCCCGCCGCCGGCAGCGCCGGCATCTGTTTTAATTAAATAAATTGGGAAACAAACCGGGCTGGGATGCGACGCAGCGGCGTGCACTGCATAGCGATGGCCCGGCAGCACTGAGGGCGCGGGACGCCGCTCCGGCACCAGCACTTGATTAAAGGGAATAAATAAACCGGGCCAAGCGGCACAGGCTGCACAGACGGCGCTGGGATCTCCCGGCTCATCCACTTGGTTTTACTCAAACGTGTCTGCGAGCCAAACCTGTTCCATTAGGGCCGACCCGCAGCCCACCCGGAGGCCTGCTCTCTGCTGAGCGGCCCTGCCCTCCCGGGGCCCACGTGGCTCCCACGTCCGAGGGGCTGGTGGCCGCAGCCCCGAGGGAGGCGGCCTGGCCGTCCTGCACCTCCCCCAGCAGCAGGTCCCAGAACACACGGACAGGCTGTGCCCTCGACGGCTGTGCCCAGTCCAGTCCCGTCTTGTCGGTGAGGCTTACTGGCCCACAGGCGCTTCCAGAGGCAGGGAGAGCTGAGTGGCCGGCTGAGACCAGGGCCCGGCCACAGTACCGGAGAGAGAGCGGTCTGGCCTGCGCAGGAGGAAGAGCCCCATCCCGTCCTGTCTGTCCCCTTGCTTTCCGGGGCTCCCTGGGTACACCCCAGTCCCACCCCAGCCAGAGAGGAGGATGGGCGGCTCTGTCTGCTGCCCCCAGGTGGAGGCCAGGAGGTGAGCAGCTATCAGCAGGAGTGGCTGGGCTCTAGGCAGAGCTCCAGGTCGACACCCTGGGAGCACTAAGTGCTGCCACTACCTCTACTCCCTCAGGGGGCATCACCTGGAGGCAGTCAGCCTCTCCTCACAGGGGCTGACCCTCCCAAGGCCCAGCACAGGGGTGCCTGGCTCCCACCGTGTGCCCTGGGCCTCCCACTCAGCACTCAGGCCTGGGGTTGCTTATGGAAGTAAAAGGGGTCTGCTGTGCAGAATAGGGTTCGGAGGAGGGTGTAAGGGGAAGAACCCACCGCCCTGTCACGCACACCCAGAGCCAAGAGCCATGACCTCTCAAAGCCCTGGCCGTGAGCGCCCCTGCTGGGCGGCCGCAGACCAGCGTCCAGAGCACCGAGGCTGCTCCTGGGTGACCCACCCCGGGGAGGGCGGGCTTTAGGGAGCAGGAGCGGCAGGAGGATCTCGGTCACAATGAAGCCCTGGGGGCAGGGTGGCCTGGGCGGGGGAGGAGCCAGCACAGGGCCGCCTGCTCGGGAGGGCCATCAGCAGGTGTCCAGGTGGAAGGGGGGCTGATGGGGGCCCCAGTGTGGGTGGCGCATGCGCCCGTGGCCGTGGCCGAGCAGAGCAGAACATGACAGGCGTGGTGGTGGAGCCTGCCGAGCCTGGTCCTCTCCCCGGGTCCTCCCTCTGCTCCAGGAGGCAGAGGAAGCCAGGTGACCGAAGCTGACCACGGCAATAGGGACTTTTTCTGCTGAACTGGACCGTCCAGGCAAACCAGGCTGAGTGTCCCCTGAGGTGGGACTGGAGAAGTGGAGGCAGCGGAGAGGTGGCCCAGCGCCAGCTGCCTCAGACCCCCAAGGGGACGGCTAGGCCCCAGCTGACAGCCTCAGGCTGTGGCAGGTGTGAGCAGGGGACCACGCTGGGCAGGCAGCTCCGAGGACACTGCCAGCCCTTGTCGCCCGACGTACAGACACCTGAACACAGGGCCCTGGGGGGCGGGCGGGCGGTCCACCTCGGGCTAAATGGGCTAAACGGGCAGGGGCAGCCAGGAGCCCTCCGCGTGGCAACGCCAGAGCCCGCCCTGCGCACCTCCCGTCGGCGTATGGAGGCCGTGCGCCGGAGGAGGGCTCCTCCTGCAGAGCCCCAGCCGCACTCACCTCCATCTCCGAGCTGTGGGCGTGCACTTTCTGCACCATGTCCTCGGCCTCGCGCATCCGCCGGGTCAGCTGGGGCGAGTACTCGGCCGGGGTCAGCTCGCTGTCGTAGGACCCCAGGATGGCGCGCATGCCATCCCGCTCCTGTGGACACAGAGGGCAGGGGTCAGGCCAACGGGGCAGGGCTGGGATGTGACGTGGAGGGACAGTGTGAGGGAAGACACCCCGCGAGCAGCCTGATGGCCGGTCAGGTGGGCCCCGCACAGCTCCTCAGTCCGAGGACACAGCAGCTCTGGCTCACGCGGGCCGGATGGGGCCCGCCCCGCCAGTGCCAGGGAGCTGGGCTGTGTGGCCGTGGCTGCAGGGTCAGAGACACGCAGGCTGCTGTCTGCTGCGTCCCCAGCCAGACAGAAGGTCTCCATGGTCACAGCCAACACCCTGCCTCGTGGGACTTCCCGTGTCTCAACGAGGTCAGGACCTTTGGCCCAATAACAGCCAGATTCACAGGAAGGAGAGCCCCGTCAGCAGGGAAGCAGCAGGCACCCAGTTGGACCGAGAACACAACACGCTCCCTTCTGCCCAGAGCGCCCCAAAGGATCCTAGATCCCAGAGGGAATGGCCTTCGGACCTCACACACAGGGCCCCGATGGCCACAGCCCAAGCCAGTGGTCAGCAAACCTCGGCTCTCGAGCCACATGTGGCTCTTTGGCCCCTTGAGTGTGGCTCTTCCACAAAATAGACTCGGCCTGGGCAAGTCTATTTTGAAGAAGTGGTGTTAGAAGGATTTAAAAAAATGTGGCTCTTCAAAGAAATTTCAATCATCGTCCTGTTGGTATTTGGCTCTGCTAACTAACGAGTCTGCAGACCACTGGCCCAGGCTGCAGGACAGACCCTGCGCCAGCTTCCGCCCAGGCCCGGGCTCATTCGCCTCAGCTTCTGGTCCCTGAGGTGGTGATCGGCAGGTCTCCCTGCACAGCTGGGAGGTCAATACCAGCCCAGGGGAGGCCCACACCACGGCCACGGAGCCGCCTCCTCCACGTGGCAGGCAGCCCTCTCCGTGGACGGCGCATCCCTTCCTGCAGGCGGAGTTGAGATGGGGGACAGCTGCTGGGAAGGCTGGTCCAGCCCTCCTCCTGTCCCTTCCCCCAGGCAGGATGCAGGGACAGCCTACCAGCCCGGCTCACAGGCAAACGCAGAGACCTGGGGCGAGGCCCCCTCCCCTCTCTCTGCTCCAGCCGCCTGGCCCCTTAGGTGTGAGAGGCGGGGTGCGGCCGCAAGAGCCCTGCGTGCGCCCACAGCTGTCCTGTCCCCCATCAGCCCGAGCCCGCTCTCTCCCCACGGCCTCTGACTCAGCCGCCACCCAGCATGGACTTTGTAATTAGTTGATGACAAAAAATTCAATAAGTGAGAAATTAAAGTTACAAATCCAGCTGGAACTGGTCACATATCCGTGGAAAATTTGTTTTCACAGGAAGGTTTATCAAGTGTCATAATTTTATTGAAATCCTCTATCTTCCCACTGACTTTTATGGCTCCGAGCTGGTTACCAAGCCGCACGCCAGGCTGGGGAGGGGTTTCCTTCATAAACACGCTGTAATCACGCCGTTATTGGCCATAAATCCCACCCGCGCCTGCCGCTCGGCTCCAGCGCAGCCTGACCGGGGCCAGCAGAGAGGAAACTGTAAACCGAAAGCTGCTGTTTGCACCTTTCCGAGAGATTGTTTGGTCGCTGAACTGTGCTGTGTGATCGGATAATGACGTTTTAATGGCTGGTCCCACTTGTGGGTGTTTGCTTCGTTTCCACTCGAGCGAGTGTGGCCACTAACCATTGCGCAGCCAGCGCCTGGGCTGCGGGAAGCCAGGACACTCGCCCAGCAGCCCAACAGGACGCGAATGCGAGGAGGAGGCCGCCTGCAGGACCAGCGGGCACAGGTGGGCAAAGTGCTCAGGCCTGCCCAGTCAGAAACAGGCTGGCCCCAATCCTGGCTTCACACTGGCACACTGTGTGCCCTCCGGAGAAAGGCTCGGCCCCTCTGAGCCTTAGTGCTGACCGTGGAGGGGCAGCGCAGACCCCTCAGGGTGGCCGCGGCCACCGCGCTCCCGTGGTCCTCCCCACAGCACTTGCTCTCTAACCGACAACGGCCAGGGCGGGCAGCAGGGGTCCGGGGAAAGCCAGCCGCTCCGCTCCACGCCCAGCACCCACTTCGGAAGGCCCTCAGCACCTCACACCCACTTCTCCGGGGAAGAAAGAGCGAGGTGAAGGGCCCGCCAAGGTGCCAGAGCCTCGAGCACCCAGCCCACCTGCCGTCCACTCCTGTGTGGGCAGCACCGGTGCGCGCCAAGGCCGTGGCTCCATCCCCACCTGTGGCTCCTGCCGCCCTCCACCTCCCCCGCCACAGCCACAGCGCGGCCTGACTCACTGCTGCCCAGGAGCCAGCCGGAGCTGCTGTGAGAGGAGAGCTAGGGGCCCTTCCCACATTCCCGCTCCTCCTGCCCGGACCCCTCCACAGGTCCCTGCCTCCCCTCCACTCAGTCACTCCGCGGCCCTTCCCACATTCCCGCTCCTCCTGCCCCGGACCCCTCCACAGGTCCCTGCCTCCCCTCCACTCAGTCACTCTGCACCGCTTTCCCCCTCTCCAGATGCTTTTTCTGATTTCAGAGGAGAAGGGAGAGGAGGCTGCAGGCTGGCTCCTGGGACTCAGTGCCTCCGTGTGAAATGCCAAAGGCCCTGGGGGAGGGGCTTGAAGGCGGGGCCTCTCGACAGCTGCCCGCCACCGGCCTGCAGCAGAGCAGGAGACACCCAGCCGTAGGCCCTGGAGCCGCGCGCTGACCAGGCCTGGCCAGACGGGCGTGGCCAGGAGACCGAGGCCCGGGCTGCGGATCCGGGAGGGAGAGAGGAGAGGAGGGAGGGGCGTGGGAAGGGGCGCCCGGGGCCTCTGAGCTGGCAGAGATGAGGGTGACCTGGGAGCCGAGGATGGCAGGAAAGAACCCCGCCTCCCCACGCCCCCGGCCCGGAGGCCAGCCGTGAGCACTGGGAAGTCCCCCTCAGGCCCAGGAGGGACGGGTCACGGGTTATGGGGGCCACCCCACCCTCCACATCCCCACACGCAGGTTAGCTGAGCCGGCAGTTCCAGGCCAGGCGGGAGGAAATGGCGGCAGCTAACGGTAACAAGGCCGCTCAGTAGATGGGAGTGACTCAGAAGCAATTCCATTACCTTCCGCGCAACAGCGCGAATACAGGGCCCCGAGTGCTTTTCCCGCTTGGCTTCCCCTCGGAGATAAGGCTGACACCACCTGCTCCCGCGGCACCGTCAGAGCGGGGCCCATGCCCCCCTCCCCCCCCAGGCAGCCTCCCCTCGGAAAGCACAGGGACCTGGACCTGTGCCTGTCCTCCCAGAGCACACTGAGGACAGGTTTCTGTGGACTTTGGAGAGAGTGGGAGGGAGAGAGACACATAGACTGGTTGCCTTCTGTATGCATCCTGGCCCAGGCCAAGGTCAAACTGCCAACCCAGGTACATGCCCTTGACCAGAAGTCGACCCACGACCCTCCGGTGCACAGGCCGATGCTCTAACCACCCAGCAGCCAGCCAGAGAGAAGTGCTTAAGCTCTCCTAATGAGCTGGTCCATGGTAACAAGCACCATATAGGAGAGGAAAGTAGAGAGAGGAAGAGGAAGAGGAAGAGGAAGAGGGAGAGGGAGAGAGAGGGGGGAAGAGAGAGAGAGAGGGAGAGAGAGAGAAACGTTGATCGCTTGCCTCCCATACGCACCCCAACCAGGGATTGAATTTACAACTTAGCTACGTGCCCTGCCTGGGAACCGAACCGCCACCTTTTGGTGTACGGGACGACTCCAAATGCCCAGCCACCGGACCAGGGACAGTGACAGAGTTTTCAACCAGCGACCCTCCAGGTGAGTAAGGAGGAAGGCCTGGCCCCAGGGGCTCTGCTCCAGTGGCTCTCCATGGCGCACTGTGTCTGGTCCTCCGGCTGACCGCATCCCTGCCTGTCCCCAAGACCACCTCGCCTGCTCTGCTGTATTTCCTCTCCCGCATTCCGCCAGCCTCCTTAGAGATCTGTGGCCGGCCAGCCGCTTGCTGCTCGCTGAGCTCATTTCTGCTGGGCTCCCCGGCCCTGAGCAGCCCTGGAGGGCACAGGCCATGGACCGGCAGGGCCGGCATCCGGAGCTGGCACTGTCCTCCCTGCAGCCCTGGCACCTGTCCTGCGCCCACGGGCGCCCGGTGCAGAGAGTAGGCTGGTCTCTGCGGCCCCACAGGCTCCGCTGTGAGTCACTGAGGCCCGGTGGCCTGACTTCCTGTGTCATCCCCCCGCCACCCACCCACGCGCAGCCGGAGGGCGGGACGGCTCTGTGCTTCTCCCCAGCAATCCGTGTTCTCACAACTCCACCTCCCGATAAAAAGCTCTCCGACACCTACTGTGGAGGAGTGGAATCAATTGAGATTTCCTGAAGCAATTTCCCTCTGCGTTCACACGGCTCCATTACAGATCCGTCTCATTTATGAGGCTGTGTAATGCCTCCCCCAGCATCCACTCCCCACAGCAGGGCCCCACCCGCCGGCAGCGGGGGTGCCCAGGAAGCGGCGTTCGGCCTGATGCTCGAGCAGGGAAGGGCAGGGCTGCCGCCGCCCCAGCCGCCCGGGCATCGTGGCCAGTCCCCACACCAGCACTGTCCCACAGACGGGCTCAGCAGCCGAGGGAAGAGGCGGCTCCTGCCTGAGCGGCCGCAGCAGCCGGCCTGATCTCCAGGAGCACGGTCTCCATTCCTCCCGGGGAATTTACGGAAAACCACCGTGAGCAGATACAGCTCTACCCGTGTGGTTCGAGGGCCGCGGTCAGTGACTAACCCTCTCGGCCTCAGCTGAGGCCCCAGGTGCTAAGGTCACCTGGCAGGACACTGCGGCTCACTGCCTACTCCCCATCCAGCCTCGGGGCCACTATGATTCTCACCTCCTTGGAGTGGCCTCCACTTACAAAAACAAAACACCCCTTACCGCAACTGCACCCCATGCAACTGCACCCCATCGGGTACCTCGGGGGCTTTCCCAGGCTGCAGGGCAGCGGGTCGGGGAGTGGACAGCAGCCTCATCGGTGCCCCAGGGCGGGGCCTGCTGGGGGAAAGGGTCC